AGTAGTGCTGATTACACGCATAACTAGGAATACTCCCCAGTTATGCGTGAAATCAGCACTATTAATTTCATTCAGAATCATACACCTCTCCGGCCTCCCAGGTTCCCATTTATACTCCTGAGTGAGTCTATATTTGTTTCTCTGTATAAATTGGTACTTATATAATGCTGGGAATTTAAATCATATTCGTTGTCAGAGAGGAGTGGTAAACCACCATAGCATTGCAAATTCTGGCCTAAAATCATCATTTACTTCCTAGACTGTCTCTTATACACATCTGGATATCACTTTGTTAACTGCATTGTGTGGTAGAAACCCCACTTGTAATGACCCACATACCCCTTTTATTGGTACAAGTTATCAGCTGTTGTTTGACAGTGGAAGGGCAAATAATGAGATATGAGTCAAGAGATAATGGAGTATGTGACATTTTAATTTCTGTAGTCATGGATTTTATTTTAATGAGAATGGTTGAATATTAGCAAAGTTATGAATAACAGTTAAGTAGTTTTTGAGGAAACAACTTTCAGAGATTCTTGTCAGTTTTAATTATTAGACTCATGTTCATGTATTTTAAAAGAATTTATATTTTGCTTTTATGTACTTGTTATGATTGATATTTGGCAGAATTGTTGTACAATATCTGTTCATTTATAACAATAAACCTGGAGTTGGTCGAGATTCTAAGTCTCTTGGCTGCAACTAATGTGAATTTGAATAACCTACAGAGTATAAGCTTTAAACTATGTCTTTATTGGTCAATGATAATTTTTAAAAAGTATTGCATTGTGGATGGTCAAGATACAAGGTTTGGATGTTATTTTGAGAGACCAATTTGAAAATCAGTCACCTGCAAAACTTTAAATAAAATTCAATTCTACTCCTGTCATTGCAGACCAAATTTCTTTGGGCAAAATAAAGGAAAGTCTAAGAAAGAAAAAGGAAAGAAAATGTAAGTATGACCAATATGCCAAAATATCTTAGGAAATAAATTTTGTCATAACTTTGATCTCATCAATCTATATATGCATGCTGTAATCTCCATCCTAAAATAATAATAATTGAAATAAATAAATATAAATTATAATAATGAGTTCATTATATACCAAAGTAAGATGCAAACATGAAATGAATAACCACATTTTTTTTGTTGCATTATTTGAAGTTTTTTTTTAAGTATAATTAACAAATGCAAATGATAACTGTTGTACTACAAACTTTTTTTTTCTTACAAATATACAGTGTTCGTACGACAAAGAAAGGGGGAGCGGTGAACTCTGAACTATATCCGACAGCAAGAGGCCTAGTCAGCAAGTAGCGTCTATTGTGCAATTTTCAAAAAAAAAAAATTCCTCTTCATTTTGTGTGTAATAATACTTTTAGCATTCCTAGAAGTAGATTTATTTCTTGGTAATTTCACATTTATTTCATGATATTCACTAGCATTATTATTACAACAATTATTGTAATAGAACTAATTTTGAACTTCTATGTGGTTTGTAATTATAAAGATGTTCTAAAAATGCATACAAATAATATTTCTTAAATAAAATTTTATGCGTTAAATCTCTATTTCACCACAGGCTAAATTAAATAAACAATACCGAAAAATTGAAGGTAAATAAACAGCTCCCCCCCCCCCCCAACAAACAAGAAACTCGACAGCATTTTTATTTCAAGTCAAGTCTACATTTCGAGCTTGATATAATCAAGGGCCTAGTGTTTTTAAATAAAAAAGAGCATTTAAAATTCTGTTTCAAAACACTAGACATTTCTTTTTTATGTACAAATATGCAGGCATAAAAAGTACATTACCATTTTACTCAAATCACCAAATTATAAAAATTAATCATTTAAAAGATATTTGAAATGTGCATTTTACAAATAAGAAAATATTAATTATGATAATAATAGGCTTAAATTATTTGAATTCATTCAAACACTGAACACCTTTCCACCTGTGTACATCATACCTTGCTTAATTTCTCGTCTGCAATGTTGGGTTGTTCCCATAATAAATATGCCTTATTCTGAAGTAACGTACCTTAAATTAAAAATTCAAGACCGGCTTTATATTAATAGAAAAAGTAACAGGTGTAATAAGCAAAAATAACTTTGCGCTTATTGCTTGTGGTCATCATCAGGTACCGTATAAAGTACCAGCTTTTAGTAAATATGTCTAGTAGAAACGGTGAGCGTAGCCGTTGTGGTTCATATCCCAACCTTGAGGTCGGCGGTTCCAGAAACCTCGCTATGTAAATCACCGAGGTCCTTTGAGAAACTTTTATTTATTTTTTAAGAATTATATAGCGCAAATATCCAATTATGGAAGAACCGCTGAAGGCGCTTTTTATTCCCTGGTCATTGGGTACAGAATCAATCATACACAATGTGCAACCCCTCTGTTCCCTGGGGAGTATTCCTAGTTATGCGTGTAATCAGCACTACTATATTCATTCAGTAGTGCTGATTACACGCATAACTAGGAATACTCCCCAGTTATGCGTGAAATCAGCACTATTAATTTCATTCAGAATCATACACCTCTCCGGCCTCCCAGGTTCCCATTTATACTCCTGAGTGAGTCTATATTTGTTTCTCTGTATAAATTGGTACTTATATAATGCTGGGAATTTAAATCATATTCGTTGTCAGAGAGGAGTGGTAAACCACCATAGCATTGCAAATTCTGGCCTAAAATCATCATTTACTTCCTAGAATGCTTTAGTTCCTGGGGGTTTACATGCTAGAATACCTTAGCCTTGGTGGGGGTTACCCCCTTACCCTACCAAAGCTCTTTTTTATAAAAATCTGTGAAACCTACTGCCCATTAAGTGCTAACTGTAGTAGAGAAAACCTAACCCCCCACCCACCATTAAGAAACCGGTTACTGGCCGATTACTCTATTTCTTTTAATTAAATCTGATTTTGCATTAGGTTATATTTTAGGGTGTGTGTGTAAACCTAACGTTCTGTCTACCACCCCCTTTATTCGGCCAGTGATTACAAAATTATTTGACTTTCAGTTTGAACATGCATCTGACCTTGTAAAGCCAGGTTTTACAAGGTCAGATTTTGGCTATTTATCTCGCTAGTATCTTCAAAAGATATTAAATTCATCAGTGTAATGTTGAAAATCTCCTTAACCAAATAGAGAACTTGGACCTGCATGCTGCTAATCTTGATAACTTTTCTATTTTTGCGTAATAGATATTGTTGTTGTTATCCCAGGTGAAGATACATGGTTGTATTTCACAATATTTCCTGACTCATCTTCATTGGTTTAGTTCATCTAGTGTCAGGCATTAAATCAACTCTTTTAATGATTTATAAGGTTTCAGTCGCCACAGGGTTGTAGCTGTAGAAAACTTAAGTGGGTGAAAGTAATTTTAAAGGTGGGTGGGGATAACATTGGTAAAATTTAAGTTTTAAGGATGAGCAAGGAGTTAATAAAGGTTGGTGGAAGGCCATGAAATAACCTTTAGACTGGGTTGAAAACTTAAAGGCTGAGTGCCTCCATCCATTATAACTACATCCCTGGTCCCAACTAGTATTTTTATATTTACACTAGGCTTTTTAGGATTAAAACATCCGATCTCCATTGGGGAGAAAATCTACATTTGGTCAGGAAGAAAAAAAAAACCGATATGTATTTCCTACATATTAGTTGAATTTAAAATCGATTAAAAGCATTTGAAACCCATACATTGTCAAGATTTTGGAAGCCTCGCCAATTTCAAAAGATTCTAAGCGACGCCCGACCACACCCACTTTGCTCTCAGGGCAGATTCAGAGATGTCCGAAAGGGGACCGAAGGTGGGACTGATCAAGATAACACCACCTTGGGGGGCATTCCCCCGATGAAATTTTTGTTTTCTAGACGCCTGAAAATAACCTTTGAGGCGTTTTGGGCGATCACTTTTTTTCTTTTTCTTTCTTCCTTTTTATTTTCTTTTTTTTTTCTTTTCAAAAGGGGGGCCCCGTGTACATCCCCCTGCCTAGGACATCATACCCCCGTCTGGTAAATCTTGGCGCCACCCCTTTATTATAACTTACATCCTGGCTTTAATTTTCAGCCATGTTTCTATGTTAAAATCAGTAATATCATTCCAGGCATAAATAGATTTGTTTTTATTGATAAAGTTCATTTTTTATACTAAATATAAAGTTGCAATTCCACTGCCATCATATGGTTCAGTTTCATAATGGTATTTCTATTGATCATATTAATAATATTTGTTTTATTATTGTTAATATTGTCTTTATTAGAACAATAAATTTATTGACGTGACACAAATCATGACACATCTATAACTTCATTGTTTTAAATCATACACAAAACCAGATGGAATTTGCTACGGTATTATTGTTTTATTATTGTAATATTTAAATTGTCATTATTATGGATGTTATTCATTATATGCTATCTGCAATTTTTCTTCAATTTACTACCTTGATTATCCAAATATACACAAAATAGTGATTATTTATTCAACAAATTCCTACTTCAAAACTTGGACTTTACAATGCTTTGTAGACAAATTCCTACTTCAAAACTTGGACTTTACAATGCTTTGTAGTAATGTAGACAATCTTTCAATAATACATAATATAGTGCAATATTATTTCTTGTTCATCATTACTTTTCTGATGTTAAGCCTGTCTCTTATACACATCTAGATGTGTATAAGAGACAGCCTTATTAATTGTGTTTTATCAAAGTGCATATTAGGTGAAAATTTCTTGTATTATAGATGGCGTTATCACAGTTTTTATATGTGGTCAATAATTATCAAAATGACAACTATCTCACATACTGTAATTATATTGTAGTGGGGATGCTGCCAGATGAGTGGGGTGAAGGCCTTGAAAGCTTAACTAATTTAGGGCTTACTTAAAAAATTTAAGAACAAACGGGCACCACCAAGGCTAATTTTCACTGCAACGAATAAGAAAACAACAATGATTTTATCATTGGTTACGGTATACCTTACTATCTCAGATTGAACTTTTCACCCACAATGCACTGATAGTAAAATTTATATGATGTAAATATTACTGGGATCATTTTATACATACCTATATACATACACACACACACACACACACACACACACACATATATATATATATATATATATATATATATATATATATATATATTATTTCACTATATCTATATATCTATATATCTATATATATATATATATTTAATTCATCACCTTGTTGTATGCATTGATAGCCATTTCAAGATAGATCTCATAAAATATGTTAACTTGATTCGACTTGTCAAATGTTCAGGTTAATTTTTTTTATATTCCGTCCAAATTCTGCAATTTATAAAGTGTATTCAGACCTTATAAAATATGCTGATGAAGGCAAACATACATGTGCAATTTATTAATATTGGAAGTTAAAATATCACTTAATGACTACTACACAGCAGCGATAAAGTGCTGAGATTATGCAGATACCTTTACAAAGTGTAATTTATTAACATCTACACTGTGTGCCCAAACGTTAAAAGCAAAATTTAAAAGCACAAGAAAAGTGCCCCAAAATGTATTCATTGTAAGTAGTGTTATTATACAATGTATGGATTTCTTTATATATTTTTATATTTTATTTTAGCAATTATTGTTAGTGACCAGAGTCACCATTAACATAATTGAGCATAAACAACATCACAAATCTATCAATATTTTATACCAGTACACAATTTATTGTTGTTATCATATATACAACTTATTAATTATTAATAAATAATATAAACATTTCATGTCTAAGTCATTTGAAACATGCCTTAAAATCAAAATACACTTTAAAATTAAAATCTTTACATTAATATCTGTACATTAATTTATGAGTTGGGTTAGACCAACACCCCCCCCCCCAAACACTATTTTTATGGATCTTTTAGGAACAGTTTGTCGTAGTCCACCACTTACAAATACACTGTAAATGCTGTGTGTATAGAGCGAAATTGTGCGTTACAGCTACTGTATCAGTCGCACGATCAACAGCTCCAGCTCATGTAGACGGATTGCTTTAATTGTATGTCAATCAAAAATTAACCTTTCTCTAAGCCCCGCCTCTTCGATATTGTTGCTAACATCCAACGTATAACTTATTTCTCCATGGTATAACCATGGGCGAATTAGTTTTCCTCCATGGTATAACATGGTAAAGGTGCGTGAATTACGTGCTTGTGGGAACAAACACGTGTTCCTAGCCCTCTGATTGGTCGGTTGTTTAACTAACAGAAAGTGATCTTGTTTCGAGACTGCTGTATAGTTAGAAAGTACTTTGTAGTTCATTTGTATATACATCGTACAGTGGCATATTTTATTACTGGAGCTGACCTTAAGTTGTCAGTATTTTTTATTTACTTTTCATAGAAAAATAAGAACATAATTTCCATTGATTGCTTTATATTTCTAATGCTAATTAAATTTTTATTCTGATAGTGTGTAATATTTACAGAGAAACAGTTGCATTTTGAATGTATTTTGTCTGTTAGTTTTAAACATGGGTTTTGAATCAAATGTAATTATTTGATTCACTATATCTTACGAGTGATATTCTTAAATAAATGAGGTGTACGCAGTAAAATTATGTCTATTGCATTTATTTTCTGAGACATCGTGATTCTGTAGAATTTAGTTTGCAGTAGTGTACAATTTCTCCCATGTTTTCACCTACCATTGGTCGGAATGGCAGTGCCGGTTGCCTGGAAGGGAACAAACTTTGCTGTTGAAGGTAGCTGGTGGAAATTTTCTCATGCATAACATATACGTTTGTTTTTGGTAGGTCTCTAAAAAGAACCCCCAAAACAAAAACGTGTGCTTCTGAAACTTGCACGTGTGCCTTGCCTTCTGATTGGACAGTTGTTTGTTATGACTCTCCACAGAATAGAACCAGAGACTGCTCATGTAAAAAAAAATGTCTTTCAATACAATACTAATAATACGTTGATGAACCACGATAGTTGTTTGAGTTGTGAATGCTTCAAATCGGTAACTTAAGCCTATGGATATTAAACATGGATATAAGCAAATATTAACCTTTGGCCGTGAATATAATGCTGGAATACTGTCGTAACACATTTAACTACATTTTAGCTACCAGAATAAGGATACGGTACCGCCTTCATTTAGACATCATGATGATCATAATTCAGGGAGTTACGAAATTTAAATACGATCAAATACAATGATATTTTTAGATCACAGAGAACGTGATCCGAAAAATTATCCAAAAAAAAAAGCAACGTTTCACGTACACCTATTGACTCGGGATAATTGGCGCTGGTCTGACAAAAACGAAGACGAATAACTAATATGCATAAAAAAGAAGAATCCTATGTGTGTGTGTGTTTTTGTTTTGTTTTTCTTTTTCTTTTTCTTTCTTTCTTTTATTATAATTATTAATTTGAGGTCACTTTTTCGGTCAGGCGCCCAAAAAGTGTACAGTATTTGTTTGTTTGAAATTGGAATTTGTATCTTGCACTATTAAAATATGTAAGGTTGCAGATTAAAATCCCGCCAGAGCCACTTTCTCATACAACTCCACCCATTCCCCCACCCCCGGTGGGTAAATCCTGGCGCCATCCCTGAAGGAACTTAATATTTGATACTATGAAAATGCTGGTTGCCTGGAAGATACGGTAACTGATGGAAAATTTTCTCATCAATGACATATACCGTATCTGTGTTTTAGTAAGTTTCTTTAAAAAACCCAAAAACAAACACGTGTGCTTCTGGAACTTGCACGTGTTCCTTGCCCTCTGATTGGCCAGTTGTTTGTTATGTCACTCCAGAGAACCGTCTAATCCATTATCCGAGACTGCTCAGGTTAAAGAACGTCTTTCAATTAAAAAAAAACTAATACTGTAATACTTAATGAGCCACGATAGTTGTTTCAGTTCTGAATGCTTCAAATCGGTAACTTAAGTCTACCGACTTCAAACATGTATTTAAGCAGATATTAAATTTTGACTGAATAATACTGGAATACCGATGTAACACATTTACAGTACCTACATTTGAGCTGCCAGATCACGGATTTTTATTATTATTATTACTTTATCTAGCCATCATTTGAAAAATGACATAGTATAAGTATTAATCTAAAAAAAAAGCAACGTTTCACTTTTTTTTTTTTTTTTTTTTTTTTTTTTTTTTTTTTTTTTTGCGGTCCCCTTTTCGGATGCTCATCTAATTTTAAACAATGTACAGTATTTGTTTTTTGTTTTGTTTTGTTTGTTTTTTTTTTATTAAATATTAATTACCTTAAAATGTTAATTACACAGAGGGTGCTAAACGTCGCAATTATTTTCGACAAAAGAGAAATGACCACTGATAGAAGATTCATCAAAAAAAAATATTACTGTATACTGTTTAGAATTAAATGAGCATCCTTAAAAATTCTATAGTCTATTTGTTTATATAGTGTTATGATTCTAGGCAGCCAACCTAATTTGAATATTATTTATAAAGCCATTAAACATTATAGTTTACCTCTTGGCCATTTTTTTAGCCATTTAATCGGACTAGAAAAAGTTTCTATGGAGAAATGATTTTTATATGGAAAAGATTTTTGAATAAAGGGTGGGTGGCCAAGTTGGCTAAGCTAAGGCCGAGGTTCACGGTTCACACCATTATCAAAAATTTGAATTCAGGGTTCTGGCACATCCAGAGACAGTGATGTTGGATGACGTCGTAAGAGGATCAGAATGATGACGTTGCTTAATATTAACCCTACTTTGCATCCTAGTACGTCGCTTTGCCTTGCTTTATGGTTTACGTTATGGTGGTTTACTGTACATTAAAGCAGGGAAATTTGAATTGCCTTAACAAAAGCAATTTGAATAGACCTTTCCGGAGTGTCAATCAAACTTAACAACTGACTAATCAGAACAACGCTAGGAATACGCGCGCGTCTCACAAACACACGTGTTGCCCACAAACGCACGTGTTTGCGTATATTTTAACATTGTCGTCTTGTGGGACCTTAGCAACAATATCCAATGGGCGGGGCTTAGCGGAAAGGTCCATTGCCTTGATTTAACGCTGATTTTTCCATTAAAGCTATGGTCCATCCATAGCTGGAAAAGCTTGTAAGTCGCGGCGCAACGATTGAAGTGAAAATAGCGCGACATCTGTAAGGTTACTTTAAGCATACTTTTACGGGGTTTTTTTTAAATTTTTTTAAATTATTTTACCTTTATTTTTCTTTAATTTTAATAATGGTGTAGCCACATAAATTGCGTAGTGCATGATTTTATTTGATATTAATTACGATAATGTTTGTTTTTGTGGTTAATGGCTTAAACATCCCAGACATACATTTAAAGCAAATTTAATATAAGCTCTACGGGGGTCCTTAATTTCGCGAGGGTCGATCATGTTTCAAATTAAGGAGACTGCATGGCCAGCTAAGAGTAATGATGCTGAAAGGGTATGAGAGATTGACCAGTCGCATAAAGAATGGCTGACTAGGACCCAAATAGTTACTGGTCTATTAATAAAACTAAGGGCTCGTGTTTGGACTATGGAATGTTAACATTAGCGGATCTGGGTAGGGGTCAGGAGGTCCTAACCACCCACCCCACCCCCGCTTTGGTAACAACAATTTTTTTTATTTAAAGAAATAAACACATTCTGAAGACCTACCTTTTTAGGACCCGTGAGCTAAAATTGTTTTTGTAACAATGGGAAAATTAGAAGTTAGCAAACCTCATTTCCCGCCATCTAGGAATCAAATATTTCCCGGGGAGGACACCCAACCACTCCCCTTTTTTGGGGGGTGGGGGGTTCATTGATTCATAGAAAAGAGAATACACATGCAACTACTCGAGGTATAACCCCCTTCTTAATTTTTTAATTTTTTTTTTTTTTGGGGTGGGGGGGGTTGTTTTTTGGGGTTTTTTTTTTTCTTCACATCCAACAGGAAGTACATGTACCACTTACAGGATGAGCATGACGCTTTATAAACTGAGTCTTTTTATGAGACTTAGGGAGTAGAGTTGATTTTTGTCGTGATAAAAAGTACTGCTGTGACAGGAATTGAACCCAGGACACTGGAATCAGAAAGCAAGCATCTTACCCACTGAGCTATTTAATTCTACTCCAAAATTTGAACCTAGATGCCCTGGTTAACCACAACGCAATACCATTGTTGGACAGATACATTGTTGGGCAGATATACATTTGTTGACCATTGCATAGATGCAGTTTAATATTATTTTGTTCAGTGATAATAATTATTATCATCGTTTTAACATATCCCACAGCGACCGACTGAAATGAATAGGGTGAAACTGTATGAAACTGTTCATACCTTGTTCCGTAAATACGATTGTTTTTGTTCCGTAAATACGATTGTTTTGTTTGTTTGTTTGTTTTTTTGTTTTTTTGTTTTGTTTTTTTGTTTTTTTTTTCCTACAACCAACCCATTTGAAAATTCGTTCACGCACTGATGGCCTTAGACAGAGGAAAATTATTTCTATACGAATCATTGTACTGCTTAAGCCTTTGTGGAATGACACGTCTGATGGAAATTTCCATTGACCGACGGGGGCTTCCGAGTCATATCACTGTAGATTTTCCATCGCCTTCTCTCGGCATATGGGAATTTCCCATCAGGTAGAGGGCTTCCCACACCACAATTTTATTTAATTTAAATTTTATTTCAACAATATTTTACGACGGTCGTCCCCGTCCATCCAGCAGGAGCTGATCATTATTCATCATTGGAACAAATGGAAGAGAGAGATAGCTTTTGAAATCCCCGTGTTCATTTAAATTTGACAACATTTTTTCATCGAATGCAGGGCTGTCGGAACCAGCCACATCGGCTTTAGCCGGACCACTTCTTCCCAATCTATAATTTCTTCTTTATGGAAAATATACAGGGGCGGGATCCAGTAGAGGGTACAGGGTGGGGAGGACACAGGGTGGGGAGGACACGTGCCCTCCTTTCCCCGTTTTGACACTAAATTTGTATTCTGTTTCGCATCACATTTTCTTTTAAAATGTTATATATTAATTTAAACAAAACATCGATTGAACTCCTGAAGAAGGACATTGAGTTTTTATGTGGTATTCATGTGCTATTTCCCAGCAGAGGAGCCATTTTTGAACTGGGATTACCGGTAAACCTGGGATAGGTATAGGCCTATGGTTATACTAGTCCACTTTCACCAACTTTATCTGCAAATTCTGGGGGACTGTATCCCCGCCGACAGGGGGACTCAACTTGCATGCTTTTCTTTCAAATCCTTTTTTTAATGAAGAATCACATAATTAACACAAAATTTTTTTATTTTTGAATAAAAAAAATTCCCCTACAAATTTAATTTTTCCCGGGAGGAGGGGGTGGGGGTGGCTAGGCTTCCCCGACGGTGGGTGTGGAACCCTTGTCAAGGAGGTAGGACCCCTCGTTGGGGAATCCTGGCTCCGCCCCTGGCCAATTAATGTATGCCTACTCTCGAACCAGGGCCCCTTACGCCACTGCCTGAGGTGGAATTTCCTCTCTTCGGCTTCACTTGCCTACTACAGTTTATGTTTAACCTCTAAAACACACCGTGAACCCCATCCAAACCCTTAAGTTATTGTAGGACTCTCTTTAAATTGATTAATTATTTTTGCGGGGTTTAGCACTGCGGCAATACCCAGGTAGAAGTTAAAAATTTCTAGAATTTGGAAATTGTGATTCCGCTTCCGTGAAATTAGCTACAACTAAATTATTTTAGTATTAACAAATGCATGATTTATGTTGATTTATTGATTAAATTGTTGCTTTTTTCAAACATTTAAATGGAAAATAAAATAAAAATAAAAAAATGTTATTCAGACATATTTTTTTGATCTATGGATATATAATTCCCGCAAAAAAGTCAAATATTAATGGCAACTTATTTGATGTTAGATTCTTTTTAAAAACTAAATTATTTCAGTTCAAAAAAGATGCATATAATGATTTTTTAAAATCAGTTTTGAAACAGAATTTTATCATTGGGGGCCATTTTTACTTAACTGTAACTGTCCTGGCCATTTTTTCGTATACTCGAACTACCGGGTTCAATTTAATGACTCTGTAGGTACAGCGGAGAATATGAAAAAGAAGCCAAAAAACTTGCCAGTAGTGTTTCGTAATGGATGGAAACTATGCTAAAATGATCCTTATTATATGTTCTTTGATATTAGAGGTTGTCACATTTTAAATTTACCCGAACATGCAAATTAGGGAGCAAAATTTACAGAGGTCAAGGCAGATTTCCATGTAACCCTACATTATGTAAACCTGTACCACCATGCCAGAGGGAAACTTTGTCATATCATTAATTCCTCTTAGGGACCGTACTGATCTTTCAAAATTGTAAATGGAATAGGAACTGTACATCTGTTCTTAAAATCATATAAAAGACGTTGCAACAAGGAATTAAAGCAACGGAATCATGTGGACCGTAATAGAACACTAGTTTATTTCAAAAGAAATTTTCGACAAAACTAAATGACAATGTGGCTGATACAAGAGATATATTGTACTAATATATTAGTGATAGGCTTTAGTTAAGGGCCAATTATCACATAGCTTATACTTCCACTTAATTAATCTAGTCTAAGCTGTGATCAAAGCGGTGAAAAGTAATCAGGGTTTGATAAACAAAACAAAACTAAAGTATATGTGATAGCTATAGTAGTGTATTAGGCTACAAGATGGATAAGCTTAAATAAAATTGTATAATTAAAATCTTCTGAAAGTCGAATAGCAAAAAATAAATGACGGATATATATACAGTGTATCTAAATAGCAGATAATATAATAAATGGTGTAAAATAACAATAGTAGGCACAGAAGCAGGATATATTGTATATAGGCCTATACAGTATATAGGCCTATATTATGACGTATGTAAAGAGCTGATGCAATTTAAGTGTATGGAAAGTTGTAGTCACTAAGAAAACCAATGTCTCCATTAAGCTACTGTTATATTATATATGGTGGCCATCTTGGGTGTAATTTTTTTTATTCACTATTGATTAAATCAAATTTTTAATCGAATTACAAGGCACTGTGACCCCAGATTTTGTCTACATAGCCTAGACAAAAAAGCATTTAATGTACAATATAAAATGCGAGATTTATAATACTTTTTAATGAAAAATGGCCGGCAAAATTATCGGCGGTTAATCCTTTGGATTTTTCCATCAGCAGGCTCAGACACGGTTTTTTGTTTTTGTTTTTTTCTTAATGATAAATCACATGATAGTACGATTATAGTTCTTGCAGCAGGATTGGCATTTCATTTAACATTATTAGTACATGTTCGCGAGTGGTTGACTCATTAAGTAGCCTTCCACGTGTGAACCAATCAGTGACTCAACCATAATACCAGTTAGCCACGCCCCCATGCGCAGAAATTTCTCGAAACCGTTTTTTATGCACTCGCATGATATTTAAAGTGTGTCGCCCGATCGGGTTGCTCTGCAACCGTGACATTATTTCTCTACGAGTGAGTACATCGCTTTTCACTGCGAGACCAGAAAAAGGTGCGGCATCTTTATTTTACGTCTTGGAAGATTCGTATCCTGAAGAACATCCGAACAATTTACGTAGGTGTTTTATTATCATATTATTATTTTTCTCTTTATCTAGGGCCTAACCTAGGAATATTTCTTTAAATAGGCCTAGAGCCACGCCAGCATCACTGCAACAAAAGGTAGGCTATTGGTTTACTGAACAGTAAATAGCGTAATGGGGTTTCCCCTGGCGGCCACTTTTTTTTTTATAGGCCTATATATATAATTATAAATCAATTATCTAGGCCTAGTAGTAGTAGAATTTCTAAGCATAACCTAGTCTTTGCCTGGGCCTTAGCCTAGGCATGAAAAGATCGTTGTCTAGTCCTAGGTCCTACGTACGTTAATTAATGAAGTAGGGCCTAGTAGAACTAGAAGTAGGATTACGGCGAATATAGAAATGATGCAATTTATGATTCATGATCAACATGCAATGTTTTGTTTACAACTTTTCCTTCAAGAACAAGGCATTGCAGGTCGACCTAGGCCTAGTTTAAAGAAGATGTATTGTCCCTTGCTGAATACCAAGATCATCATTTTTGAAATAAAACTTAACCATTAAATGGTAAAAGTAACATACAATTTATCAACCTTGAACTTACTTGAATCAGGGAGTTGTTATAGCTTGAATGAATTGTATTAAAAAAAAAATGTTTACCCATCATTAAAGTAAAAAAAATGATACAGTAACACTTCCACCAGTCACTGGAGGAAGTGTTTTATTTTTTTTTATTATAATTATCCAGTTGAAAATTCCATGATTTTGTGTCATTTTCAAGGGACAATACATCTTTTTAATGCTACAGAGCCCTTAAAGCTGTCGTGCGGTGGTCTACAGAGCCCCCAAGCCCTAGAAGGGGCCCTGCCTACCCATAGCGTTCTTGATTTAGCACCCTTACCCTAGCTTTGTTAAAACATTACAACATAATGTTTCTGTTTGACTGTAGGGCATATATATCATATATTATATCCAGTGACAGATTACATGGAATGGGGAGACAGCTGGGGCCCCAAGAATTGTCGACATTTTTTTATTAGGAGATACAAGAAAATTTTATTCAAATTTTAAGTGCCATTTCAAGCCATCTAGAGGTGCAATGATCATACTGTAATGGTGATAATAAAGTAAACGACAAATATTTAATATAGTAAAATAGTCACTTAATTTTTCAAAACACATAATTTCAAAGTGTCTAGTCTTCCCACATAAGATTGTTCCTGAGGTTTTTGCTGAAGAATATATCAAGTAGCCTTGCGTTGACTATTTTAAATTTGTGCTTTATGACCTACTCGATAAGGATACCAGACATGATTACTATATGGATATGTGGGAGGACTAGACACTTATATAATTTTAAAAGAACAGAAGTAGAACACCCAAAGCAAAAGAATGAATAAACCCCAAAATACGATAACATTATTTGGAAGTAAACTTAACTTGACATCCCCAGGAAAGATTATAGAAAATAAATACCCCAAGAATTTTAAGATGATCGGGATTCGACAAAACATGCCCATTAAGGACATACGAAGGACGCACTAGATTCTTCATGCGTGTAAGACTAATGACAGAACATTTTTTAGGGTTTAAAGCTAATCAATTCTCAAAGCTAGACCAAATGTATAACAACAATTGGTTCAATATAATCTCTGATCAGCTGTTTGTTTTTTTGATCAGTAATCGATCAAGTTCTGATCATGCATAGTTATTATCAGTGTCCCCAGCATTGATTTCCATTAATAATCATGACAAGTCTAGCCAGGTTACCCACAGTTTTGGGGAAAACATTGACAAAGGCAAATAAATAAAAAATAAGTAGTGATTGTTATTTTTATGCTCAAATAGCTTACTATAATACCTCCATGGAGTCGAATAGTTTGTTCTAAAGCGGTTTCTTCTTATGGGAGCTCTATAATTAATGCCACCTGTGTGTACAAATACTAGATTTCATTCATATCTAATTCCTTATGAAAACCTTTTTGTTTTGGTTTTTATGGGAGAATTTGACTATTTAAAGTTAAATTTCATGAAAATCTGGGAATTTGAAAGAGATGGAACACCTGTCATGATTTTGAGGATTTGTTTTATTTTTTCCCGCAGTGATACCAATGACTGGCAAAAGCTCATTCAATTTTAAAACAATGTGATGAATGGTGACTTATTATACACCTGCCAACTCTCGCGCATAGTGTGCGAGTCTCACACATGAGCATTTGCTTTTTACATCTCACGCCTACGTTGTATTATCCCACGCATCATAACATTTTTTGTCTTGTGTATCAGACACCAACAAAGTTGGCAGATATAATAATTATTATGCGATAAGTTTGTGGCCGTTTTTGCCATTTTATGTTTTTTGCAGCCCCAGTCGTGGAATGATGTTAAAATGAAGATATTGCCTCTTTATGGCATTTGTTAGCCACAGCCCTCGTCCACATGCAATTCAGCACAATGACGATGCGAATTATTCTCTTACCTTCTTTATTTTTATATTTCCAGGTCATAAAATATAAACAATAAAATCCTGGAAAGATGTCTTTTGTTGTTGATAGTCCACAAGTTCAGTACTCGAGCCAGTTCATCACGAGCCAGTACAAGTATCAAACAAGTAGAGTAAAGAAACAAAATGGATTATTAAAGGTTAGAGGCAGTGGTAAAATTTGTGATTATAGTGCACAGATAGGGCTAGAAAAATTGCGCGACCATCGGTCGTAGGCATTGACCATTACCCCAAAGGCATTTTTTTTTTTGTTTTTTTTTGTTACACATCACAATTTAGTGCATACCAGTAATTAAATTTGATATTTATGCTTGCTCCAAAACCACTAAATATACTACAGTGTACTGTTCTATTATAATAGTGTAAAAGAAGATAACATTTGGTGCTGGAGGCTTTTGATCAAGATAATTTTCATAGTCGCAGGCACAAAAATATTTTTTCCAGGTCTGTGCATAGGTGGCGCCAGTCAGGGGTCGTTTAAGAAAAAAAAAACATTTTCTCGGAGAAAAATATAAATTTTATGTATTTATTTTATTTATGTCTTTTATAATGAAGGTGGTCCATCCAGCCTAAAGCTGAGCATTATGGACCCTCAATACATACAGTAAAGCAAGACAAACTAGAGTATGAAACTAAGAAAATAAATATTAATATAAATTTATTTAGATTAAGTAGCCCAATGAAATACAAAACAAAAAACATATATAGTATACATGAGCAATTTAAAAAAAAGTGAAAATCAGTTATATTTCTAATTTATAAATGAAATAATTATAAATAATATATACTGAATATAAATAATTAAAAGAAATAAAAAATTTACAATTTGCATAAACAATGAAATAAACCATACAGTAGGCCTATTATAATAGAAAAAGATGGTTGGTAGATTTTGAGGGATGATTTAAAGGAGGAGTAAGTAGTAGGATGCAGACATCTAAGGGAAGAGAGTTAAAGAAAGAGGGGGCATTAAAGCTAAATGAAAGTTTAAGAAGTTCCGGAATATCTTACATATTAGTATAATCGATTGACCCATATCCAAGAGATTTTGAGCAACACCCAACCACGCCAAATTTCACTCACGTTAACAGTGGATCTACTTGGTGAAATTTATTATTATCTTTTTTTCTTTCTGTTCTGTAGGTAACACCGATAGAAGAAGAGATGGTTTTCAAAACTGAGCGCAAAGTCCCACGCCTTGGGTGTATGTTAGTGGGATGGGGAGGCAACAATGGTTCCACTGTGACAGCGTCGATCATTGCCAATAAACACAATATGTGTTGGCATACAAAAGAAGGTGTCCGGGTACGTATACAACAAAAATATCTTGCATTCCTCGCATATTTTCGCCATCACACATTGGCTGGAGATGTACTCTAATAGTTCTCCTGAACACAAATGTTGAAAACCCAGTGCTGGGTCATGGATATACTGAAGACATGTAGAGTAACAAAAACAAATTGTTTAAGTTTATTATTGAGACAGTGGCATCTTGTGCAACACTCGCCCTCCCGCCTTCCAACAGTGTCCCCAACTGGAAATTTGCCTAAAAAAGTAATGGCACTAACATAATTTATTTAAAAATCAACTCATATTGGCTTATTGTGCCCGCTAATGCCCCTCACTTAATCATTGAGTCCCCCTCATAACCTTTGCACCCCAACCAGTCCTCCCATGTCAATACCCCTGGATACGTCACTGCATTAATACCTCCATATTGATATTTAATCATTGTGTTTGTTTTTTTGGTTTTTTTTAACAGCATGCAGACTTCCTAGGATCTATCACCCAAGCATCTACACTGAGCATTGGAATGAGCGAAGAAGGAAAAGAAGTGTATATCCCTTTCAAAGATATCTTACCAATGGTTGATCCTGTAGATATTGTGCTTGATGGTACGAAAGTATAATTGGAATAATATATACAGCGTCTTAAGCAGAGCTGTGATAAGTATGCCACTATTGAGGTAAACGCACCCGGCCCAGTTTAAAAGGCCGTAATTTCATTTCAGTTTCCATTAGCCCAAGTCTACAGAATAAGTTCTCTCTAGTCTAGAGTGCGGCCTGGGTCCTGGGAAACGTTTACCCCCTATCCACTTCTTCTTCAATGTTAACTTGAGTATGTATCCAACTTTATTCGTAATTTGTAAAATTAGGTAGGCTACTGTGCTATTCAACGGGCCTGAGCCCATGGGATAGGCCTAGGCCCCAGGGACTTGGCCCTGGAGAGTAGACATGAACTACTATAAGTGATAATACATCTGCTGCTCAGGGAATTGGTCCAGTGATAGGCTTGGACCTAGTGATGCCTGACTCCAGAGAAACTTTAATTGTAACCAGGAGAATAATGTGAAGTATTTTGACAATTATTTTCAGTCAATAAAAGCAAAGCACTAGGCCGAATAAAAAAAATTATGTTTCTCATCCCAATTTTTTTCAAAAAAAAGAGGGTGAATTTTCTTTTATTTCACAAAAGATATTTAAAGCATCAGCATATCACATCCTATTCCAGGCTTAGAAGTTCTGTGATATCATAACTATCTTATGTCAGGAGGATGATGGCATTTAAGCAGTATTTTTGCATATTTTGAGCCCATAAAAATAAAAAGAACAGAAGGAGATACATGATATTTTTTCTATTTGGCCCTAATCATTTTCATTATCATTATTGTTAATATTATTGCTTATCAAAATTTATTAATTTTGAAATATATTTGGATTTTTTTTTTCTTATTCTGATTATTTTCTAATGATTAATTTTTAGGCTGGGATATTTCAGCCCACAACATAGCAGATGCCATGGAACGTGCTATGGTTCTGCCATGGGAACTCCAGCAGAAAATTAGGCCTTATACCGAGAATATGAAGCCGCGTGCATCGATCTATGACCCTGACTTCATCGCAGCAAACCAGTTTGACCGAGCAGACAACTGTATCAGTGGTATATTATTGTCTTTTTTTAATCATAGTCTAGGCTGTAACTTGGTTGGTATAACACTTGCATTGCAATTGTAGGCCTCTTGTTTCAAGTCATGTATGTTTGGCAGACTTTCTGTATTATTTTCTCGAATCACTCCGACACGCTTCAATTTCTTTTCGCATCCATTTCTTTTCACAACATCTATATTTTTTCCCCAGCATTACATCATTCTAATTATTGGTAATTTTTATATTCCATGTCAAAAGTTTCCAATAAGAAAACTGTACAAGTAATGTAAATGAAAAGTTGCAAAAAAATTGAAAAAAAAAGGTTGAGACATTTTAAAAATACACAAATTAAAATATTCATTCCAAATTAAAGCTAATTTTTTTTTTTTTTTTTTTCGCTCAGCTGAAATTACTATTGCAAGATTTAGATTTATAAACGTTAGTAGTTTCTCATTGATTGTGCTATTCTACATAATTTGATTTGGCGTCAGTGAACAAAACAAGAAAATTGACTTTTTAATATATTAATATTATCCACATTTTAAGTGCTAAATAATAGGTAATTTACTGGAATTGACTTTATGCTAGTTAAATAGTATAATAGCTATACATTACTCCCACATTTTTATGCTAATTACTCTAATTACTGGTTTTGGGATGGCAAGCCACAAATATCCTCCTCCTCCATCAGTCACTGATCTATGACCATTTTTTAAAACACAGGCACCAGGAGCGAGCAGCTACAGAAGATCCGTGAAGATATTGTTGATTTCAAAACATCAAACAATCTGGACAAGGTAGGAAAGTGTTAAATAATACTGCAATTATGTATGATTTTAATGAGGTTTTATTTCTTTTAGAATAAGAATAATTCATTGAAAATTCCTTAACACCCCTCTCCACCAAGAGTCTCTATGAACTTTTTACCCCTAGAATATAATGGAATTGTCCAACTCAGCAAACTTTATTTTCCTTTTAGCAAATATAGATAAGATAAGATGTGCATAATCCAAAGGTGTGGACATTATTCTCTCGGAGGCGATGCATTAATTTATGAAACAGATCAGACAAGTGAATACAAAGAAATCCAACAATTTAAAAGAGTACACAAACATGTGTTTTACTATATTATATATGTGAGTTGTCATGACAAAATGAGTCTTGTGGTACGCCAGGTCAATTCGGTATATTCAAGAAAATATATCTGAAGTGATATTTTGACAAAAATTGGGTTTCAATTTTTCTGGTAAGTTTAATATGCATATTTCACAGTAGCAAAAGTTACAAGATGAGTTTCCCAAGGTAATCATGTTTTTTGAGGCACATTTTGTAAAAAGCTATTTTTCAGAATTGATGGGAAAACCAACACAAAATTTATCAGTTGTTTATCTTTAGATGCGATTTTCTCTTATGTTTTAGACATCTGAAATTTAAAATGATCTAACTCTGGTTTTACTCAACCTAGAAACTTGATTCAAACACCAAAACAAAGCTTATATAGTCATCTATCTAAATATATCAATAATTCATTTTTCATACACAAGACTTATTTCGTCATGACAGCTCACATATTATTTAAAGGCACTTGTATTCATTTTACTTTTCTCTTTGCTGTAGGTAATCATTCTGTGGACTGCAAACACTGAACGATTCTGTGACGTTGATGTTGGTCTCAATGATACTGCCGAGAATCTCCTGAACTCCATAGAGTCAGACAACTCAGAGGTGTCACCTTCCACTTTATTCGCAGTTGCTAGTATTCTAGAGGGGGTAAGTCATACAATGCATGAAGACTAATGCGATTTAGTGCACATTTCAATGTAGAGGAGTCTAAATTAAAACTTTTGTGCCAAAAATACATTTGCACTAGTAGCAGTACTAGCGCCTCAATTCACAAATTTTCCGAGGACAACGTATCTGTAAAAATCTTTAATATCTTTGTAATACAATTTTACGTATAATGAAAAATTTCTATAGTTTTAGGCTCCTGCAAAATTTCAGAAGGGTACAAGAATTTCTTGCCGAATTGTAAATGTACACAATTTTCTCTACGTATCTTGAAAGTTTTTAGAAGTGTCGTTTTGGTTTCGAAATGCATGCGTCTGATTATAATACTTGGCTTTCTGTAGAGGCTGTAACTTCAAAATTTGTGAAATTATACTTGTAAATCTTGGGATGAAACACCTGTCAATTGGTATTTTATTCTGCAAAATATACAGTACCATAATACAGAGTGCTCATTAATTATGTAAGTGCCTCTGTATATTAGCACATTGTAAAAAAAATACTAAAGAAGTATAGTATAATTGTTATAGTACAGTAATATTTAATTCTGCAAGTGCTCATTGATTATGTAAATGACACTGTATTATTAGCACATTGAAAACAAAAATACTAAAGAAGAATATTTTGTTTTCCAATTACATTGTTTGAAAAGTACTTGGTATTGTAATAGTATTATAACTGCATTATTTAAATAAAATATTATCATAACTGTGTCAGTAACAAGATGCTAAATTTATATCTTGTTATTTGTGATTTGAGTACTTTTTTTTCAAATTGCTATTTTGATCAAGATCAAACAATCTTTGCAATTTCACAAGTAATGATTGTTTTTTTTTTGTTTATTTTACAGTGTGCATACATCAATGGTTCTCCACAAAACACCTTGGTTCCGGGAGTCATCGATCTTGCTACTCAGAAGAAAGTATTCCTTGCTGGCGATGATTTCAAGTCTGGACAGACGAAGATCAAGTCTGTTCTCGTTGACTTCCTTGTCGGTGCTGGCATCAAGCCTGTGTCCATTGTCAGCTACAATCACCTCGGCAACAATGATGGAAAGAACCTTTCATCCCCAAAGCAGTTTAGATCTAAAGAGGTATTGTTATGCTTTTTTCACTTTATTCACAGTTGCTAGTATTCTAGAGAGGGTAAGTCATACAATGCATGAAGTCAAATGTGATTGTAGCACACTTTTGCATGTAGACGAGTCCAAAATATAGCTTTTGAGCCAAAAATTTATTGTAGTTACAGTACAGTATATCACCTCAATTCTCAAATTTCAACATACAGTATCTGTAAAAATCTTTATAATAACTTTGTGGTAATTAAAATTTTACATATGTGGCAAAGAGAAACCGAACGAGTAACTTGTCGCAAATCCTGTTTCAGTGATGTTGGCCAAAACATGCTGGAATGTCAAAATTTTGGGAAATTTATTTTATTGCACCAAACTAACCTTTATATATGTATATATTATGCTTTGCTGTTATTTTCCCCATTTTTTCCCCCAAAAAAAAATTAAATTCAAATAATTATGTAATGTATATTATATGTATTTATTTGAATAAACACCCTAGTTGTGGGGCTTTTGAAAGGGAATTTATTATCTGGAAATTTAGAGAACCACCCAAAATTATTGTCAAATAGCGTTACCATATGTATAATCATGAAAGCTTATATACGTACACTGTTACACAGTTTATTTTCTTATCCTCTACCTGCCAACTTTGTTGGTATTCGATGCGAGACAAAAAATTATATAGCGCCCTCTGTACATGTGTACTATCCATAACTGCTTAGCTTTTAAGTCTCTAACTAGCATTATGGGCATTGAAGAGCTGGATAGCAGCATATACATTGCTTTGCTGATATTAACTTACATTTTATGTGGATTTAAACTTTGGAAACATTATGTTTCAGATTACAAAAAGCAATGTTGTCGATGACATGGTGGAATCAAATCAAATCTTGTATGAAGAAGGAGAAAAACCTGATCATTGTGTAAGTTTTTTAGAAATTTGTTGTCATATTATTTGAATAATAATAATAATTATAATAATTATAATAAAAAATATAATAATAATAATTATTATTATTATTAATATCTTCTATTGTTAAAGCAATTTTGTTTACATGCACTGTAGGTGACGGGCTCGCAAAAAACTTTTTTAAAACCCAAAGCTTTTTAAACATTACAATAATTATGTTAATTTTTATTTAATATAATTGTTATTAGAAATTCTTGATTTTGTACAGGTTGTGATAAAATATGTACCATTTGTGGGTGACAGCAAGCGCGCCATGGATGAGTACACGTCAGAAATTATGATGGGCGGCAAGAACACACTTGTTATACATAACACATGCGAAGATTCGCTTCTTGCAAGTCCTATCATCTTGGATCTTATCATCCTAACCGAAATATGCCAGCGAATTCAGATCAAAACTTGTAAGTTTGTAGAGTAACCAAATGGTAATTCTCTGGGTCTTGTGTTTTAATCCTGGCCGGGTACACTATGTTTTTCTCTCAAAAATTATATTTATCACTTGTGGAGGTGTTGCTTCATATCAAGTGACATCTTATTGTGATTTCTCTATTGAGTATTATATTAATTATTGAGTATTATAAAATATATTTAAAATACATGCACCTTTCAAGAACATCGTTTCCTAATTGAAAAGTCCAAAGGAATATTCAAATTTGGCCCAATAGCTCAGTTCATAGAGCAGATGGATGGTAAATGGAGAGTATTTGCTTCTAAATCCTGATTTTCCTCAAAAGTATCGACTCCTCCAGCACCAAATGTTATCTCTACACTAGCTAGCCCATCATTAGTCTGGAAGGAGAACAAAAAAGATATTTAAAAAAAGCTTCCAGACAAGTTTCTGCAGTGCTATTGTATGTTACTTCTTGACTGTTGTTATTTTCATTTTTTTTTCTTGCTTTCTTTACAGCAAATGATACAGAAATGCAAAGCTTCCATCCTGTGCTGTCAATTCTCAGTTACCTGTGTAAAGCACCTCTTGTGCCATCGGGTACTCCAGTTGTTAATGCCCTCTTCAAACAAAGAGCTTGTATCGAGAACATCTTTAGGTAAGATTCAACCTCATGCTATGATGTTTGTACATAAGCAAGTATAGGCCTAGTTCAGACTAGGTTGATAAACCCGGCTCAACTCACCGGGTTTGTCCACCTGCCAGTCTGAACTAGGTGGCTTATCTCAAGCCAGGCTGTGTTCCTATAGTAACTAGGCCTGGCGCGCCACCGTGTTTAACTTTTCTAAGCCGGGCTTTAATCGTTGCGGGGGGTCTTGCATTGACTTCAGCATTCAATTACGTACGCTGTGAGTGAACATACTTTTCGCGAGCAATGTTTTGAAACATGTTTCCTGATTACGGTTCATTATTATGCAAATTCTCGCCTGGCTAAACCCGCTAGTCTGAACGCCCGGTAAAGCTAAGCAGGGCTTAACGTTGAGCCGGCCTTAACTCAAGTCTGGCTTATCTCCAAGTCTGAGCGTAGCCATAGATTTTACAATTATTATAGTATTAATTTTTGATAAACATTTCTTTAATATTTTTTAACAATTTTTCTGTAAATGTAATAATAGTTACATTAAAATTCAGTTTTTTTTTTTTGTTTTTTTTTTTGACAATGATTTGTGTCTTGGTTTATACATTTTAACATTGTATTGTGTAAATCAATATGTATTTAAACTGTATTTAAACATAAGCAATGTAATACCTGTAGATGAATTGAAATAGTGATTTGTATTATTTTAGATCTGCCTAACCATTATGTATTGGAAATTGCTAATGCATCGCGTTTGAAAAATTCAGGGTTAAACATTGAGAGTTTAAATGTTTCTAGGCATTTTCTTTTTTTCCCCATTACAGAGCATGTGTTGGGTTACCTCCATTGAACCATATGACCCTAGAACATAAGCTGAACCTTGCTGCGGTCCCCAGCCAGCTAAGCCAGGTACCAGCCATGCCGGTTAACAAGAAACTCAAACTTGACAAGAAATCAACAAATGGTCATACAAATGGTTACACGAATGGTTTCGCCAACGGCCACTCTGACGAGATACTAGTAAACCACTAGTATTTTCATGCAGCTATTTTTTAAGTACAGAATCTTTTTATTACACCAAGCCAGTGAACATAATTACGAAAAAATGGAATTGCCATTTTTGATGTTAAAAAAAAACTATTTCACATATTGATACATTTCTCCTGATTTGACTAATGTTTCTTGAGCGAATCAGCACAAGCAATGTTATGATTACCAGTTGTAAGCTTTTTGTATCAAAGTACTGTACATGTGCTAGTAAATATGTATAAAATAGAGAACTGCTCGACCACACTGCCCCTTCCAATTACCTTTTAGCACTTGTCCTTCGCCTCTGGCCAGGAGGAGTTTTTCAAGTTCCAATTGAGGGCCCACCATGAACAAGCCCAGGTGTCACATTCCCTTCAAACCGTTAGAACTTCCAAAGTTTAAAAATGAATTCCAAAAAAAAATATGATAATTGTGCAATTCCAATGGAATCCAATAAGCTTTAAGTAACTAATTAAAAAGAGGTCTTAATGAATTAATGATCAATTGATTCTTCTGTTATAAATTTTATTAGTCGTGTTGGACACAACAATTTTATTTTGACCTATTTAAATTTTAGTAATACAGTAGCTGTGGAATTTTAAAAACATTATTTCCCAGAGGTTTTCCTCTCTCTTAAGTCACAATATTGTTTTAAGAAAAGAGGTTTGTAACTGCTAATCTGGTGGTTTTTAAAAAGGGAAAGTGAAGTTACGCGAACTATTATTGTTAGTTAGAATATATATCTTTTATAATTTGTTTAAAAATAAGTATTATATATTGTTAAGAGTGTGATATAACTCTCCAGATTTGGGAGTTTTAAAAATATTGTTTAGTAGTTGCGTAATTGTTTAATGATATTGTAGTGCGATTGGTCAGATTTGTTGATCGGCACGATCTTGAATGACATTGACTCTAACCTAAGTCGACTAATTGACATGATCTTGCGCACCATTTTAAACTTTACTTGGTACATATACGTACAGTACACATTTAATTTATTACGTTATTGTGTGATCCTTAAAGCTGTAATGTAGCTCAATGAAATAAGCGAATCGTAAAATTAGATTTTTTAGAACCAGTTTTGACATAATATTTACTGATATGTCCGTGTTTATATAACGTATAAATTATTAATTTATATGCGATTTTTATGTTACAAATGCGTTTTATAGAATCAATTTCGATTCTAATTTGTCGGTACATTCGGTGGCGGTTTATGTTTTTTTTGGTTTTTTTTGTGAAGTCAGGAAATATCTGAAGATACATTATTTTGGATATTAAAATTATTTCATCTGACGAGAATTTAATTTAAATGACTCAGCTATGAAATAAAGAGCATCGTGAGCCTGATAAATTTTTCTTGTGTACTTTTTTTCCATTCCTTATTAAGCACATCAGAAAACCTTGATTCTTTTCTATTGCATTTATTTATTTATCTGACCTCAACAAACACAAAATTTAAAAATGATCAATCTACGGTCACGCTTGACTCGCCCTACACGACCAAAACACAGAATCTAGGAAGAGTTATAAAACAATTCAGATTATTTAAATTAGGCGATGTACTATTGAATTCAATAAATCAGTCAATCAATTTATTAAATATCGCCTTAGCATCGGTGGCACACACAATAGATAGTGGTGCATCCAAAATACAAACTAATACTGTACTGTGCTTCGAAATTAGCTTATTTTATTCCTTTATGCTATACTATCGAGAACCGACTGACCCTGTTTTCCATTGCTCCTTTAGCAACTCAGGTGCAATAATAACGTCATAGGATTACAGTAACTCATTCAATATTCAACAACATTTCGTTTTAAATCAGTACAGGAGTAAACGGATTGGAGGGCCCGGCAAAGTGAGTTTTTGATATACCGTAACATTGTGCCGAACACAAACCTATCCAGTGGGCTGGCAAAATATGCACTGCTTGCTTACCAATTTGTGCTCAGTTTTAATATTACATTTTACAGATAATCGGACCGTTGAAAAGGAGGTTCTAGCAAATGACAATAAAATGTTAACATCTGTCTTTGCTTACATATTACAAATTCTGTGGGAGTCCTATTGTAGAATAATAATTACAACCAGGCCTATAGTCTCAGTAAATAATAATTATCAATTTATATTATAGTACGTAATATATAGATAAGAAATAGTACTCCAAGTATATAAATAGCGCCATCATACTGGGATTTACAGTAGGCCTAAACCAATCAGAGGAGATGATAAATTACCGTAATTATATTCTGCCTTCTGATTGGTTAATGCTTTTGGTATCTAGTACAGTATATCTTTCGATGTGTTAATACTGTTGGTATTTGCTGTACAGTATATGGAAATCGACTTGCATAGCACATTACCGAAAATGCTGGAATAAGCGCCGCACCAAACGTTATTTTTCGTAATGCGCCGCATTACGAAAAATAAAATATATAAACGGCCAATGGCTAGTAAAATGCATGGCGGACCTGTTAATTATCCCAATAACAAGTCCGCATGACCAGTTAAAATTTCAATTAAAGTCTGACGAAATACCTAAAGTTTTACTCATTCACCTCTTAATGTCTTTAAAAAATATTTCAAACAGATAATGTCAACAAGATCGCTATTTTCTGTTTATTGTCATGTTAATGTCAGCTACGAACAGCCTTAGGCTCAGTCATTCAAGGCGAACAGATGAACATCATGCAGTAGCTAGACCATGGAGGAATCCATGCCTAGACGTACAGAGTTAGGGAAATCACCTTCTCCGCAAGTTACAGCGACAAGGAGAAGTTGATTTCTGCTTGTGTGAGCAAAGACTTTTAACTGTTACCAGGATAGGAAGCTGGCTGGTTTAAGCCGTCTAACTTGAATTAGCTTTATGTGCGGTATTGTTATGCAAATGAGCCAGATAAGCACAATCTGCACATGCTCAGAAAAACAAAACTTTCCTTAGCCGCACGATGGCCACTCTGCGTATCGGCTAGGCATACAGCTAGGCCTAGCTGAGAATTACGGTACGGTAAAACAAAGCAAAATAAGGGTACTAATTTCACTTGGCATGCAAATCAATCATACTTACACACTTAAAAAACAAACTAGTCTACCAATAAAATCACCTGCAAGTTAAGATATGTCTACAAATTTGATTTAAAATTGATGTGATTAGGCTAGCCTAGACCCGGCCTAGTCCATGTCCTGTCTCTTATACACATCTAGATGTGTATAAGAGACAGCTTCTACACCGCTGTATCGCGGTGTGTTTTCCGACGACCAGCAGCCTAGGAACGTAATAAAACGGTAATTTTCTTAAAATTGCAGAAGATATTTTTGTCGAACTTTTTATATTTGATTCAAGACATATTACTTAACTATTGTAGGCCTAAATTTTTTATAATGAAAAAATCGGAACGGAATTCGTTTTCTAGACGTCTTTTGAGCTTCACCCCATGGCCTATACGTCGTAAGACCGTCGCACGACGAATCCAACTCCGCTCCCTATAAACGCCAGACAATGCGACGCCGTCTGCTGATTGTCGGTCCGGTGGCAGTCTGATCGGATCGTCATCAAAAAACAATCCGTTGCGCGCGCGTAGTCACGTTGCGTTCTTCATAGAGTCGCTTCGACCGACGACCGTCGGGCCAAGGCAATTCAGCGCAATGAGTGCCCGAGATACAGGTTGTTTTAATCAGTGCCGGATTAACCATTAGGCAAATAAGGCACAAGCCTTGTGGGCCAGGCGAAAATGATGGGCCATCAAAAATTGGACTGCAATATTACTTACCGGTACACTCTATTTTCCGGTATTATTAGGCCAGAAAACTCGGAGACATTCTACTGTTAGAGTTGTGGCAGAGTAACGCTTCTCTCCGACACGAAAGATTTTGTAATCACGGTAGCTGGGGTTTTTACATTTCGTAATTATTACCATGAGGTCCATTCAATTACCATTTTTGGGCCATTTCCAAAATGTGCCTTGAGGCCAGACGATGCTTAATCCGGCACTGGTTTTAATATTTAAAAACTCGTGGAAAAGGGGGCGTAACCACCCTTTCCATCCCCCCCCCCCCACTTTTTTTTAATTTTTTTTAGATATTCAAAAATCTATATCTCATTAACAGTTTCCTAGTTTTGTTTTGTTTTTGTTTTTGTTTTTGTATTTTTTTTTTTTTTTTTGTTAAACATCGTTTTTGTGTCTTAGAAATATAAAATATCAGTTGTATCATCGACTTTTTCCTCCGGAGCCTGACTTTAACTAATTGCCGCAGAAATTGTCCTTAATTCGTGTTTATATAAATTGCAAGATGCTATACAGTATAATTAAACAGCACCATTTCAAGAGTACGTTGTATTGACAACAAATCTCAAGCTAGCCATTAATTTGTTAAAACGATTTAACGAGGAGCTTATTATTAGTTAATCATCATATTGTATACGAATTAAGTTTAGATGTGTCTGATTATTTGTGATGGTAATTCATATAAAAGATTAGTGTACGTAATAGAAATGGAATACATTAGGAATGAGTTGTCTACTTTTCAAAGCTTTGAGTGTAATAATAATAATAATAGGCCTAATAATATAAGTCTTATATAGCACAAAATACAATAAAATGGTCTCTATGCGTTTTACATGAACAAAAAGAAACCTAACCATGAGATACCCTAATGTACAAGGAAAAATAACACTGAGAAAACGGCAAAAAAGCAGAAGAATCATTTTCCCTGCTCCGCGTATTCCAGCAATTTGAAGCCTAAATATTAAAGGCTCGCTGGAACAATACTTACAGGAGCTCTAATGTTGACAGCTAGTATATCCTACAATAATTTAAATAAAATAATTCAGATAAGAGAAGATTGCCAAAAAAAATCTGAACAAGAGGAGAAAAATGTGTTGTTTTAAATATTTCAACTAATATCCTCCAGAAAATCATTCCATAAATAAGCGGATGAGAAAAGGAATGATCGGTTGCCACGTACAGTTATCCGTTTTGCATTTAGGAATATTGAGTTGATTTTGAGTTGAAGATCGTATTTGCCTAGGCAAGTTGTAGAAGTTCATCCTGTAGGATGGGGATTTTGAACACAGGGCCTTGAAAGTGGTCAGCAAGATCTTTAATCATTCTCTGACTTACAAAAGCCAGTTCTTACCCTTAAAAACTGTGGAACACAGACAGGGTGCACAAAATCACAGTAGATTTAGTGAAGGTATAATTAAAACAGCAAATAACATAAGTAGGCCTACATATCTACAGTAGAGAGAACCGTGAGACTGGGAAAAGGGCCTCAATGTAAATCTATGACGGCAATTATAAACGCCGTAAAATAAGTTTTTCAGATTGTCGAAAGTGTGGGGAACATCAAATTTAAGTACACCATGAATATCGTACTTACCATAAAAACGAATATTAACATTGCGACAATATCTGCTAAGAAATTACACACTGCGCTTCCACAAAATATTGCCCTCAGAATAGAATGATATATTTTGCCTGAGAAAATGCACCTTATATAGCACCGTGATTTAAATTCAATAAATCATCTCCGCTGATAGGTAGCCGTCTATTTAACATCCATGGTAACTTCCCCTTCGCTCGTTTTTGCAATTACCAGTGACGAGTTTGAGTAAAATGATGCACATGTACTTCAGAATGATTGCCGATTGTTACCATGGATACTCGAACCATCTTTCGAAGAATTTTGTTTGTAGCATTGATCATTCATGAGATAATTCAAGACCGGAGATTAAACAAACAGACATCACCAATGAGCTATTATTTGATGCGTCTTCGGTTTCGTCCCCGGTGCGTACAATTATGTATTGTCATTTGCTTCAGAATCAGATAAGTTTATTGTGGCATACATAATTAATGCTGCCATGAAATTATGTTTTCTTATTTGCTGAAGGATATACAAATATAAATTATAAAGTAAAATAATTTTACATAGACGTACGCTGAAATACAAAATGAAACGGAATTAATAGAAACAAATTGTATTATAATTACAGGTAAAGCTGTTTTTGGAATGGTACTGTAACATACTAGGGTAATACCAAACTAGGTACCGTATTATTTTAAAACTTCTGTTGAAGACAAAGGAGTAGGCATATAATGAACGGAATTTCTAAAATGTATTTGTTTTAACTATGAGGGTAACGAATTTTTCCAGAATTGCTAATATATGACTGAGTTATGTGTAGATGTCTTGCATGGCCATAAATGTCTTAGTCATATTATTTTAACGTATATGCTAGACAACCAGGTCAATGACCATCCTTTGTTATCTTAAGAATCCTATTTGTTTGGATATTTATTCACATAGATTGTCTTTCTTAAATTCATTATAATTCAATTTTGCAAAAC